TTTTTTTTTTTTTTTTTTGATAATTTGTGTTTTCAGTTGTTCACTGATCTATAACCATGGGGAGGAAGGTAGTAAACGAAGGAGACTCGCATTATGACTTTGACTTATTTGTGATTGGAACCGGAAGTGGTGGCGTTTCGTGCTGCCAGACTTTCAGCAAATTTTGGAGCTAAGGTATGCCGCAGCATCTAGACCATTGGTACTGCTTAAAATTATTGAGTTCTGCATGCTCCTCTGCTACTTTACGATTTATAAATTACTCATTTACTTTTAAATATGATGTTCAAGGTCGGGATCTGTGAGCTTCCATTTCATCCAATCAGCTCAGAAGTGATTGGGGGAGTTGGTGGAACGTAAGTAAATTATTGTTCTAACTAATGTACTGTTAGAGTAGTGGTGGAGCACATCTGGGTATGAAGGGATTTCTTTATTAGTGATCAAAATTTGATAGTTAATGTTGTAGAGAAAAAAAATAGCTTATAGGTGTGAAATCTCATATTTTTAATTCTCCAGATGTGTTATTGGTGGTTGTGTTCCCAAAAAGATTTTGGTGTATGGAGCAGCTTTTGGAGGTGAAGTTGAGGTGAGATGGTAATCTTTTTCAGAATTAAATCTGATAGATTTCCCGATTTTGCAATTATATATTAAGTATCCAATTCATGGTTTGTATTTTTACTTTCTAAAGTTGCAAGTACATAAACGTTTGAAATTTTAATTAGTTTATCCTAGAGTTTCTCTACTGAGCACTTGAAGACATTAATTTTATTAATTTATACAACAGTAGAAAATTAATGAGTTCTATGATTTAATTGTGTTTCTTTGATAATCAAAGCAGTAGAAGCTGAAATTATTAGGAAGTTTTACATTTTGCTTGATACATGTAGAGTTGCATTTTATATTCATGGGGCAGTTCCGCAGTTGGCTCTACGCAGTTGTCTTGCTTTCATATGAATTCAGATTTCTGTCTGTTCTAAGAAAACTGTTAAGGTTCTTCATTAAACTTTTTTTATTTCAGCTATGCTCTGTCAAATAGGAAATAATATTCAATCTCACACCACAAGTGGCCCCCCCAAAAATATGATTGTTTTGCTCAGCATTTGATTTACCCTGGCCTAGAGGTTGATCCTTTCTTTTCTCCCAGCTTTATCTTTAGAAAGGAAAGCCATCCATAATCTCAGTTATCTTTGCCTATGTTGGAGTTTTCATTATATCTGTTTGATTTGATTGCCTCCTGGTTAAATGTAATATAAATTTCATTAGGTAATGAAATAGATTCACAATTGGACTGATACAAGATTTTTTATTAAAAATATGTCACGGAATATAGTTAAAAATTTTGATTTTGGTTTGGTCTTCTATTGTGTTGTATACTTGTATTGTCTTTTGAGTATATTTCTTTGTTGTATTTCATGGCCAAGCAATTGGGAGTTTCTGGATGGCTTGGTGCTTGAATGGTTAATCTAAATGTTCATTTTCGGTGTTATGGTGTTTCCTACAAAACAACAATCATTTTAAATGATGTTTGTTTTGAAAATGATGATTTTTTTGTAGGATGCCAGAGATGATGGATAGGAGTTGAATGAGAAAGTTGAATTAAACTGGAAAAAGCTTTTACAGAAAAAGGTTGGTCCTCTTTTTTTTCAAATAATTGAGGATGTATAGTTTTTTCATTGTTCCTTATACTTTGTGGTGGCAATCTTTATCATGAGATTCTAATGATACCCCTTTGATTTAAAATGAAGTTCTTCAACTGTAATGAACAATTGCCTCACCTGATTTAGGCAACTGTCCTTTGGGTTCCCTATGTTGAAAGTAGATCAATAGCCATAGTTTTCTTGTTTTTTTTTTTTTTTTTTCTTCTTCTTAGAATGCAACTATCAGTTTGGAAAGTTGTCTTTTCCACTTTCATAAGCATCAGATGACTGATTTGTTATTTTGCAGAATACCACCACTTTCCACTGTTGGTCTTAGTGAAGAACAAACAAAAGAGCAGGCAAATAGTGATATTCTGGTCTTTGCATCATCCTTCAATCCACTGAAGAGCGCTGTAACTGGATAGGTATTGGTGACTTGAGATTTTATTTTTCCGACATTGTGTTTGGATGTTGAAATGTGAAAACAAAAGAAGAGAGAAATAAAATACTAGAAATGACTAATTTTTCTCTCTTGTTTGAATTTCCCAGTAAGATTTTGTATACATAACAATAAATAATGAAGATAGGAAAACAATGGGTTTTGTTTTAATTTTGGACCCCAAACCAATAGCAAGCACAACATTTTAATCTAACCAAATGTTCCATTAGTTTTTTATTTTATTATAGATTTCGAAAACCCCAACACAGTCTAGATAAATTTATAATATCATGAATGAGTTTTAGTGTTGTTAATGGGGAAATCACATGTCAAGTGATTGAGGGGAAACCTATGGACTTTTAAATAAATAAATAAATATGGATCTCTTCACCTATTGCTAATTGGATTTAAGGTTGGACAATCTTATCCAAGTTTAAATTGGAAAATGCCATATATAAAATAGGAGTATGGGTAATTCTGCACAAAATATGTTATCAATGGATTATTCTCATTATTTCTTAAGATCAGCGGATGTCTGACTCGTATATTTGATTTTGGTTTCCTAGAATCTAATTGTGCCTCTCATGTTTCTCTCCAGACGGCAAGAAAAGACTATAATGAAGCTAGTTGTTGATGCTGAGAGGGACAAAGTTCTTGGGGCACCCATGTGTGGGCCAGATGCATCTAAGATTATGCAGGTACTGACCGCATATGCTGGTTCATGCAGATCTTTTTCTTTTTATGTGAGTTCCAGCTTGTCCATGGCCAGATAATTCGTGTGCAAATAAACCAGTAGAAAGTGCTAGTCATTGAAGCCCTTTCTACTTATCTCTTGATCCAATTATTTAGACTTTCCTAGCTAGATGATAGATTGTGTCACTCTGCTTGCTCAATATGGGATACAAATAAGGCTGTGTTATGTTGTTGTATGGTCGGTTATGACTTATCTTCCACCTTGGTTATCAAGCGTGCAAACAGTGAAGGCTTGTGTATGCATTGCCAAATTTCCATATCAACTTTTAGTGTAGGGCTGTTTGTTTCAATTTTCGTTTGTATGCGTATGCATGCTTGTGTTTTCGAATCCTGGTAGTTATTTATATATATATATATATATATATATATATATATTTGTTGGGAATTGCCATTGCATGTAAATGTAGAGTGACGAAGGCCCAATTTGAGAGCACGGTAAGCTGAATATTTCTTTGGAGATTGGTGACAATTTTGCTGTGAATTCTATATACCATTCAAGAGTATAATCCAATAGTATGGTCTGTTGCAACCTGTCTCTGAGATTGTCTTTTCACCAATCTCAGGTTGTTATTCATCCTTCAGCAGCAGAGAAGTTCGTGAGCATGCGATCAGTCACAAGGCGTGTTTCAAAACCAAAGACGAATCTGTAAGTTATAAATTCATGGATTGTGGAAGAAAATATAGATTAGTAAAAAATTGGAAGTGGCTATTTTTGGTTGCTATTCTCATTATAAATGGTTGTTCAATTACTGACTATTTCTCTAGAATTATTTTAGATATAACAATAACATGTAATCTATTTATTTCTTCCTATCATCATACCATTTCGATTAGCTTTGTCTTTCTAGTATCTGTAATGTATAATTATCTTAAACGACCTCTCAAATTTTTCATTTTCAAGACATTAATCATTTATATACTAGGAAGAAAGCAAGAAATCTGAAAATATAACCAAACATGTCTAAATATTGTTTTTAGACAGGGAAGGTACATAAACCACCGTCTCATAATTAAAGCAAGAAATTTGATTATCCAACCAAATAAACAGGGAAATTAGGAGTTCCAACAAACATAACCAAAGAACAAGCTAAAGAATTTCAACTTGGAGGGGAAACTGCTCACTTACGTTCCAAAAACATCAATCAACTTTCTCTCCACTATAGCCAAGGCATCATTTTTCTGTTAAAAATTCGTGGAGCATATGTCGAAACAAAAATTTCAACGAGGAGGGGAAACTGCAACCATACAAAAAGTGTAACTGGAATGCTAGCCATCATAATTATGGGAATGATTGCCCACCACTGATCTTGAAGCATAATCAAAAGAGCAGCTGAAAAGCTAACCATCATTGCTGCAATAGAAATAAAAAGAGTGGAGAGGCCAATGATCAACTTCCTGGGTAAGGACTCA